TTGGAGAATTATTAATGTTAGACCTTGTATTCCTTTCATGGTGGCTTCAGTGTTAAATGAGTTCATCATGAAGTTCCCGAGCTCTTCTTTATAAAAAAAAGATATAAATTAATGGGGTACTTAGTGATATGGCCTTTGTCTACACAAAGATCTAGACTGAGATTTTCAGCTCATTTCATACGGGACCCACCAAACATTGTAGATTTGCATTAACGGTTATTTTGGGCTGGATCAGAACTGGCAAGCTAGAGGTCAAAGGTTCAGTAACTCATTCCCAGGAGCCGTTCAGCCTCTCCATCCTCTCCTTTAGGTCAGTGGTTCTCAAGCTTTACTGTGCATCAGAATTAGCTGGGCAGCTTGTTGGAGATGCAGATTCCTGGGCCTTACCTCACACCTGCTGAATCAAAGTCTCTGGGGATGGGCCCAGAGACTGCACCCTTAAGAAGCCCCACAGGTGTTTCTGATGGTCTGTGGACCCCACTGTAGAGAAATTGCCTGGTGCTGGCAAGCCCTCTCAGTCAGAATACACAGCGTGAGGAGTCTCTGGCTTGGCTCTCCGACGCTCAGTCCTGCTCCCTTGCCTTTTCACCCCTACAGATGAATCAGGAGATGAAGAGTCTGTCTCACAAACTGACAAGACTGAGCTGCAGAACACCCTCCGGGCCCTCTCCAGCAAAGTGGAGGACCTGAGCACGTGCAATGACTTGATAGCCAAGCACGGCACGGCTCTGCAGCGCTCCCTCAGCGAGCTGGAGTCCCTGAAACTGCCGGCTGAGAGCAACGAAAAGATCAAACAGGTCAACGAACGGGCCACACTCTTCAGGATAACATCCAATGCCATGATTAACGTAAGTGCAAATGGGGGCTGTGTTGCTTTTTGGTTCTTTCCCTCTTTGAAATGTAACTCTCCCCAGATGCCCCAAAGTTGTAATCAAGTGAAGTACAGAACATTAAGCACTGCCTCACTGCTCCAGGAATTTCAGTTACATTGTTTGGGGTGTGAAATAGAACAGGCTGCACGGCTGAAGCCACTGTCATGCTCAGCTCAGGTGGCCAGGAGGACAGCTCTGTGGAATTAGTGCTCCAGCCTGGAGGTTATTAGGAGTCCAGCGTTCCAGCCCTGCTTCTGCGACCAGCAGGACATCTGATGGTGATGCTGATTGAGTCCCTGAACATAGCTGGGTTGTGTTTCGTGGTTTTTGTTTGTTTTTAATCTAACTTTATCTGTTAGGTCTAAAAAGATCTCCATGGGTCCTTTCAACACTCATGTTCTTTGAGCTTTAAGTTGGAGTGCTACTGCTACCTTGTTAATGTTTTCTTGCCTACGGTGTGGTAAGTGGGGAGTGGATCATGTACTAGTAAGAGCCTTTTAATATTAGTTAATCCTGTGTTGAGTCCTTGGTTTGAAAAAGAAGGAGCCAAAGCTTCCACCTCCTTGGGAGCCCTACCTCCGGTGGCTGTTGTTGATGTGTGGAATACTTCAGCTGCTTGAGTGAAAGGCTCCAGGTAAACACAAAGCCCCGCTGGCAATATTGATGTATTTCAGAGACTCAGCGATAAGAAGGAAATGAATACACAGCTTAAACAATGCTGTTTTTCCTCTGCCAGTGATGGATTCTCACCTGGCAGGTTGTTTCAGCTAGCTGCCACATAAAAACACTGGAAGAAATTTCGTGCGGCAAGTGAGAAGAGTATTCTGTGAGAAAGGGCTTAGGCAGTTTTTTCTTTTTTTTTTTTAATGTTTAGTTAAATGGGATGAAATTACGTTTCTAGGGCCAGATTTTGTCTTGTTTAGGGAGTGATAATAAGACTTCTGCTTAGAGCTGATTTAGTTCACGTGCCTCCTATAGAGCAAAGGACTTTTCTTGTGACCACGGGAAACTCTGGTCTCTCTCAGTTAACCCCTTTGTTCCTTGATAGAAGGTTGTGATAGCCTTTATTTTCTTATCATTTTCTGCAGTGTTGAACACTTTCACAAAAGGTAGAAAAAAGGCAAATGATTTTCCATGCTTACTAATGAGGAAGGATTGCAGGAAGATTAAATATCCCCCAGGATCCTCCAGCAAATCGGCAGTGATGCTTGTGTTTCTGATGTCATTGTGCTCTTTCTCCAAACTGTCATGCTTCTTAGTGACTATATGTCTGTTTTTCTGGTCCCCTTGTGATCAGGAAAACCTCATAAATCATATAAGCCAATTAATCAATAGCAAATATATATACTTTTCATATAGAACAACTTGGGAAGCAATAGTCTCCCCGTATCATGTTACCTTTTATCTGTGTCAGGTGAATACACACTCCATGACAATTTTTTTTCCCACTCTGATGTGAAAAATTTCCTAAATAAAATACCTTTGGAAAATATACTCATCTTTGTTCCTCGAGGCATTTCTTCCCCAAGTTGTAAATGTCCAGAGTTTGTGTTAAAGGGCACAATCCCTTTGAAGTCAGAGGTAAGTTCTGTTTTCTCATTCTGCTTTCCTTTGTTGCACTGCCTGTACTCCCTTCATAGGTGGTGATTGCTTGAAGAGTTTTTTATGTCCATGTTGTTTTCTTTGAACCTTTAAGGTGATGATGGCAAGGCCTTAAGGGTAATGTGCAGGTGAAAAGTGAGCACTGGAGCTCTAGATGGGCAATAGCTGGGAAAAGTTATGTCAAAAGGAAGAACACGTTTCACTCAGTTTCCTGATTGCTTAGGATATAGCTTTTCTTCCTACTGAAGTAATCTAACCTAGGGAGTAAATTTGACACTCTCAGTGTATCAATAAATTGAACGTTTATTAAGCACCTTCTACGTTCTAGGTAAGGAGCCCTGGTGGCGCAGTGGTTAAGTGTTCAGCTGTTAACCGAGAGGTCGTCAGTTTGAACCCACCAGCTGCTCCGAGGGAGAAAGATGTGGCATTCTGCTTCCATAAAGATTAACATCCTTGGAAACCCTATGGGGCAGCTCTACTCTGTCCTACAGGATCACTATTAGTCAGAGTTGACTCGATGGCAGTGGGTTTGGTTTGGTTTTTATGTTCTAGGTACTATGCTAGGGGATATAAAGTACATACAGACAGGGTCCCTGCCTTCAGGGAGATTCTGTCTAATGAGGGAGCAGAGAGGTAAACTGATCATTATGGAGTGTTAATAGTATCATGATAGAGATGATATGGTAGCACAGTGGAGGTGTTTAGCTTGGACCAGGAGGATTATAGAAGGTAAAGCCTCAACTAAACTCTGGAGGACCAGTGAGAGTCTTCTTAGTGAAGAAAGGCAATATAGAGCTTGGGCCCTGGGTCCAACTGTATAACCTGGGGCAGCCTACTTACTCTGTAACCTCAATTCTTATCTGTAGATGGTGATGATACAAGTAGTCTCCTCACAGGATTGTTGAAATCAACCACAATACCGCCTTGAATGGTGTAAAACAGAAACAGGTGCAAAGTGCTATTACAAATGTAGAGAAGAGACTGGCTGCTCATGAGACTAGGGGAAGGTATCACAGAGGAAGTAACATTTGCAGTAGGTCTTGAAGAATGAAGACCACTTGGCCAAGTGGAGAAGGGAAGGGCATTCTAGGCAGAGGGAATAGCATATGCTAAGGTAGATAGACCTGAAAGAAGTCTGCATGTCCAGAAAATGGTGAGCAGCTCAGTGTGGCTCCATGGTAGGTTGCAGGGGTAGGTACGCCTGGAGGGGAGGCTGGAAAGCAGGTTCTGGCCAGACTGTGAGGGGCCTTTTGTGCTGATAACCAGCATTCAGGATTTGATCCTAATACCAGTGGGGAACCGTTGATGAGACTGATATGATCAGATTTATTTTTTTTCTCTAGATCCCTTCTTTGATTCCTCAGGTAGTGTCTGAATTTTAAGTCAGTTGTTTCTTCGGTGACCAAAGTATTATCAAAATAAGTTTTCTCATATTTGGTCTTAATTCAGTGCACATTCTCTGATCTCAGTGTCTAAATTCCTCAGCTATAGTTTAGTCAAGACTTGTCTAATAAAGTCAAGACTTTAGCCTAGACTTCAGTTTAGTCAAGACTTTATTGAAAGCAGTTGTCCCAGGCTTTTTCCCTCTAACTTTAAGTCAGCAGATTTCGACTTTGGGTGCCATTCACCATACTTGCCCTTTGTGTTGCTGCCGCAAATACTTTGTCTAGGTTTACTACTCACTTGGCATTTGTTTGATTCTTATGACCAGGAAAATACATAAGAACCATGACAACCGTGTACACTTTCTTCTGGATTTGACCTTGCTTGCAGCACGGAGTTGGCTGTCACTGATACTGTAGAGTAACAGGCAAAGCCTTTCGTTGTAATTTTCCAGTGAAAGTTCCCAGAATAAGATTATTTAACAGGCCGATAGTGGCTTGAGGAGAATCTCTGACACGTTGAGTTGAGGTGACATATCTGTGCTTTTCCTGAACAGGCCTGCAGAGACTTCCTCATGTTAGCCCAGACCCATAGCAAAAAATGGCAGAAGTCACTGCAGTATGAAAGAGACCAGCGCATCCGACTGGAAGAGACCCTTGAGCAGCTGGCGAAGCAGCACAACCACCTGGAGAGGGCGTTCCGAGGAGCCACGGTGCTGCCAGCAAACACTCCTGGCACTGCAGGTTCTGGTAAAGGTAAGATGCTTGGTTCTTGGGCGGCCAGTTCTGATATGAGCTCGTGGTTTTCTGCACTTGATAGAAGTCCATACTGCCCAGAATCAATGACTTCTGTAAACTGGAATTGAGCAGTTTATTTCTTCTGGCTTTTCCATACTTTGTACCATTTGTTGCAATGGTTGTGGTTAGTATTTTAGAGATACTGCTGAGCCAGGTGTTTGGTAAACATAGCCAGAGTGAATGAACAAGGCTTCTCTCCTCATAGATCAGTGCTGCTCTGGCAAAGGAGACATGAGTGATGAGGATGAAGAGAATGAATTTTTTGATGCTCCTGAGATCATCACCATGCCTGAAAATGTGGGCCACAAGTAAGTTATCCTTGACTGCTGAAGAAAATGAACATATTGGCCCATCAGAAGGTTAGAAACATTTAAGTGGGAGTGTCATAGTTGTCAGTGTTGACTAAGATGATGTGGGCTCTTTTCCTTGAGTAAGTGGAAAACTGTCAACTTTTTTACATGAACAAGTTCTCTGGAGATGTTTAAATTCTTGTCAACTTTTTTACATGATCAAGTTCTCTGGAGATATTTAAATTCTATATATTATATTTTAAGTGTTGTCCTTTGGTCATTTGTTAATACAGGTTTATGCAGTGTGCTTGGTATTCTGCTTTGTAAAGAAAAGTCTAGAACCAAATCTCTAATCTGATCTTTGTTCTAACTCTCATACATCTCCCATTTGTGCAGACGTACTGGCAGCAATATCAGTGGAGCCAGCAGTGACATCAGCCTTGATGAACAGGTAGCTCTTCTGTGGGAGTTGTCAGGGTGAGGGACTTGGTGTGTGTGATTCCCAAGGATTTGCTTGTAAAGAGCTAAGACGCAAAACCTTGATTTTTATCACAGGGGAAGGGAAGGGCTATAAATACTGTGTTTTCTCTTTATGGGTGACTGAATGGCTTTGCTTTTGCTCTTAGTACAAGCATCAGCTGGAGGAGACCAAGAAGGAAAAGAGAACTAGAATACCATACAAGCCAAACTATAGCCTCAATTTGTGGAGCATCATGAAGAACTGTATTGGAAAAGAACTCTCTAAGATCCCCATGCCGGTGAGGTTCTTGCATACACGGGCTGGTGCCCGGAGGTCCTCTCAGGCCGCAGTGGGAAGATAGTATGACAGCCCCATTGTGTGGTACTTTGTGGCATGGTTTTTGTTACCCTCATAGTCTTAAACTGCCCTTTCAAATTAGCTGCTTTAATTTTTACTGTGTCTCTGGTATGTTCCCAAATCACCTAGAATCAGGTGTATTTGTGCATAACATTTATGAGTGAATTGCCATGCTAGATGTGCTAGGGGCATGCAAAGATAAATAAGGCCTAGTTCCCATAGTTTAAAGGATGTAGCTTAAAAGAAACACATGAAAATAGGTAGAAAATATGGTTTTCTATTACAGAGTTATGGGAAATAGTATACATACAAGTGTTTGGGGAACACAGATGCAAAAACAATTCATTCCAGCCAGGAAGATGAGAACCATCTCCGTGGTGAAGATGGCGTTTGGGCTGACCTCCGTGCCTGCAGTCTTGCTTTCCTCCGATCTGCCCACGCTATTGCCGGAGTGTTTTTTTTTTTAATTGCAAATGTAGTCATGTCATTCCCTAGCCTAAAATCCTTTACCTGATCCCAGTGGGTTTGCGGATGGTCCAGGTTCAGTATCAGGCTTGGTACCTCCTCCTCCTGGTCTTGTGCTCTCGTTGTGGTCAGTTACCTTCAGGTTCTCCGAGGCGTCTTGTTGTCTTTTCCCTTAGGGTGTTTGCACACACTGCTCTTTTCTTTCCAAACCTTTTATCTGCTCCTCACCCATCCTTGCCACTTTTCTATTGCTCTGGCTAACACCCTTTCCTTTGAAATTCAGCCATAGTGTCGTCTCCTTCAGTAAACTTTCACAGATACATCTGGTCAGGGTGAGATGTCTCTCTCCTGTACTCCAGCAAGTTCCATTGTGTCTCTCTGGGCAGTGTGTATCACTTCCTCGTTCATTCCACAAACATTTATTGCGTGCCTATCATCTGCCTGGTGCTGTGTATCAGTTAGGTGTAAGTTCATTTTCAGGGAACAGATTCAAAAAATATTTCCTTAAACCAGGGGTTTGCAAACAAAAGCCCTTAGACTAAATCTGGCCACCATTTGTACAGCCCCCAGGGTAAGAATGGATTTTATATTTTTAAGTGGTTGAAAAATATCAAAAGAATATTATTTTGTGACACAGGAAAGTTATATGAAATTCAGATGTTAGTGCCTGTAAACTCTTCTTAGAACACAGCCATGCTCATCCATTTACGTATCATCTGTGGCTGCTTTCACCCTACAGTGGCTGAGCTGAGTAGTTGTGATGGAGACCATATGGCCCTCAAAGCCTAAGTCTTTACTATTAAGCCCTTTACAGAAAAAGTAAGGGGCTTAACGCACTCTCAAGTGAAAGTCCAGAGGTAGGTGGTCTAGGGCTGGTACATAGTCCAGTGCCAGGACCAGGCTCTTCTCCTTCCTGTGGCTGTGCTACCTGTGGCCTCAATTCCTAGGTCCAAGGTAGCTGCTCTTGCTTGATCCATCAGGTCTCATTCCAGTCAGCAGGAAGAAGAAAAGAGAAGAAAGGCATGCTCAGCTGGAGGAGACCAAGAAAGATGCTTCCTGGAAATTGTATAAACCTTTTTCACTTAAATCTCTT